TTACAGAAAATAAAAAACAAATAGCCAGAATAGATGGGACATCAAAAAGAACGGAAGAAAGACTGGGGACCTTGAATACAGAGATGGATGAGCTAAAACAGGAAAGCAAGCAAGATGAAATTACTCTTGTTAAATCTACAAATAGAAAGAGCCAATGCCATACTTAGATTCCAGATCTACCAGAACAAACAGGATAAGACACAGTGCAAGTAATTACTACTTATTTAGCATTGCTCATGGAGATGCGACCAGAGGATGTCCAACAAAATATAGGCACAGCACGAAGAATTAATACAGTATATACCAGGAATAAAAATCTCCCCAGAGAAATTTATGTTAAACATATGAGAAAGATATTTCGAGATAAAGTTCTAAGAAATATGCAAGTCAAGGAGCTTAATAGAAAATATAAAGAAATCAAGATCTTGAATACTCCGTGGCAAATAAGACAGAAAAGGAGACAATATGCGGAGCTGACATCCCTCTTGAGAACGAACTCAATTATGTATAAGTGGTTGGTGCCTGAAGGTGTCCTCTTTGAATTCCAGGAGCAGAGTTATTATATTAACTCAAAAATGAAGGCAGAAGATTTTAAAAAACAAAGGAGAAGTGGCTAGGAAGAAAAAAGGAGAAAAGTGCAGATGAAAAACAGGAAGAGGAGAAATCAATTAGACCATCAGGATCAGAGGCAGGAAGAAGCTCAACTAGAGCAGAAGAGCAAGCGAGAAGCTCTAAAGGAAAGCACACTATAGAAACAAGAGGATCCAGGAGGAGGAAGGAAAACCTCAACAATAAAGATGGACTAAATGAATTAAATGGCTAAAGACTGTAGTATACAATGGGTATAAAATGGTAAAAGAATATTAATGTTTAAAAATCAGTAAATGTTAAAGAAAATGCAGATGAGATGTTTTAAAGATGATATATGATTTACTGATGGTACACAATGTCAACAAAGTTTTTTTTGTTGAAAAAAAGATATAAAAATGTTTTTAAATAGTGTGCGAAATGTAAAACACAAGATGAGACTTTTATTATCCTTGGTGGATATATAGGGAATAATTTCATAATCAGATTGAATGATAGCCTGGAAAGCATAGATTTAAGAAGAATGTGAAGGTCTAATCAGGGAATAGATAGATTAGTAACAGTGGTGCCCCGCATAGCGACGTTAATCCGTTCCGGATTAATCGTCGCTATGCAGAAACATAGCTAAATGGGACAGAAAAGGCCATAGGAACGCATTAAACTTGGTTTAACCAAGTTTAATGCGTTCCTATGGCTCCCAAACTCACCGTTCAGCGAAGTTCCTCCATAGCGCCGCCATTTTCGTACCCTCGGTAAGCGAGGGCAGGGCGCGAAAACACTTGCGGTGGCCATTTTGGGTGTCTGGCGGCCATTTTGGAACCACCGATCAGCTGTTGAAAAAACATCGCAATGCGAAGATCGGTAAGCGAAATGCTTACCAATCATCGCAATGCAATTTTCAGCCATAGAAAACATCGCAATGCAGTCATAAAAACGATCGCAATATCCGCATCGCTATGCGGATTCGTCATTAAACTGTGTGCTCGTTAAGCGAGGCACCACTGTATAGCAATACTGGAAAATTGCTGTTGATCTTTTAGTCTCTGTTTTTAATATAATTGTACAAGTTGATGGCAATGTACTATCTCACTCTCTGGAATTTTACCCTTTCTGTATCCATACCTACCCCCCAACCCTAAATTCCCTTCCCCATAATCCTACCCCCACTGAAAAGAATAAAAAATCAGAAATGGAAAGTTGTTGCTATTTGCTATCAAGCTTATGGTGATACCTAACAGGGCATGTGTTTTACCACTGCCATATCTGATGATGCTACATCACACTGGCCCTCAATATTTAAATATTTATATGAATATCTGCAATGAACAGCTGATTGTTTGCAGTATTGTAAAAGTGCCCTTAAATAAACTGTAAACTCTAAAATGGTAATATTTAATGAGTTTTATGTAGTCCTACTAATAATATGGAAAACTACAGAAAATTAAACATTGATGAAATGACAAATACCATTTTCACAGCTTCATCAGACAGACATAAATTTAACTGCATGTACAACTTTTTCTCTCTCTCTGCAATGTAGGTGTGTGTGTGTGTGTGTGTTTGAGAGGGGGGGAGGGAGAGAGAGAGAGTTCATGTTTGTAAGGGGGAGAGGCAGAGGGATGGGACAGGTATGCTTCCCTTATAGCTGCACCTACGTAGCTCAACATTATCCCCCCCCCAAAAAAATCTATTTTACCTTTAGATTTTCAGTTGTAGTTTGCCAGCAGTGTTAAAGTGACTAGAATAACCTACAGAGGATCATCAGACCTTTCAGGCTTATAATAGAATAAATGCCATTTCCAACTAAAGCATTTCAAGGAACATTTTCTGAAATTTTATCATTATTTTCACAAAAAGAGACTTTTCATTAACTCCAGGTTCCCATTTGCAAATGTGACCTGACAACAGCCTTCAACCTCTCTCTAGTGGCCACACATTTTACCAAGAAAGATGTATTCCTGCCTTTCTAGACCAAGCAGGGCAGAGCAGAACCTGGTACAGTGGACCCTTGACTTACAGACGGCTTGACTTACAGACTTTTTGAGTTACAGACTTCTCTGGCCGCAAAATTTAGGTTTGACTTGCAGCCTGAGAATTGACTTACAGACCAGAAAAAAACCAAAATGGAACAAAAACGGCCTGTTACGGGATTAATCGGTTTTCAATGCACTGTAGGTCAATGGAGACTTGACCTTCAGACTTTTTGACTTGAGAACCGCCTTCCAATACGGATTAAGTTCTCAAGTCAAGACCCCACTGTATTATTTAACAAGGGTTTATAAAAGGAATACCAAAGGCAACATTAATTTTCAAACAATAATATTATAGAATTTAATTCTAAAAATAAATGTTCATTCTAGAAAGGCTCATTTTAGTCAGATCCTTTCTTACCATAGAAACTCAGTCAGATGGTAGACTATTTTATGACTACATGAAAAAAAAGAATTCATGCATATTAAATCTGAGATGATTAGTGGGCAGGCTTCATCTCCAGGGTATAGAGGAGTCTCCTCGGAGAATGTGAGGACTATGAATCCATCTGGACAATGACAGCACACTTTCGGAAGATCCTTCCATTCAGGAAGTACTGCTGGATTGCTTCTGACATGAATAAATTATTTATTAATGCTCTGTGATGTATAAAAGAAGTGTCATTCCTGGGTAGGTTTTTATAGTTTATAGGTGCACTTCGTGGCCTGAACACTTTCCAAACTGTCCTTGTTCCAAATACTTACTTACTTACTTACTTACTTACTTACTTACTTACTTACTTACTTACTTACTTACTTACTTACTTATTTATTTATTTATTTATTTATTTATTTATTTGATTTTTATCCCGCACATCTGGTATATCATACCACTCTGGGCGGCTGTCTCCATAAAGAGGAAAAGTTAGCTATACTGTACAAAGTTTCATGAATCTGTCACTGAGGGCCTAATTATATGTGATTGCTTGAGGAAGGCTTAGATAAGAACAAGGGCGAGGGATACAGAAGCTTTAACTTCATAGCCCAATTGCAGTACAGTTTTGGCTAATTGCACCTTCCAATTCATGATGTCAGCAAAAGGATGCATCTATTTTACTGGATTTCAGTTTGCAGGAGCAGGCCCCTGCATCTGTGCCGGGAGCACAGTGGTGCATTAAAGTGATCCTGCCTTCACATAAGAGTCCCAATTGTTCACATAAGTTAACAACTGAAGCTCACAGTTTGTAAAAACATGCCCTTAAGAGCTGTTTTTATAAAAACAGCTCTTAAGGGCATGTTTGCAATGACATTCAAGTAACTGTTCTCTGAATCTATTCCCTAGAACGATACATTATTCTGAAGCAATTTTCAGAAACCGTTAAGATTAACACATTTATTTCACTGGATTGCAACCTATATCTCAGAGAATGGATTATAATCTACAAAAACTCACACTGACATAGATGTGTTCATGTTAAAGGTACCAGAGTACTTTAGATTTTTTTAAAAATACCATTTATTTATTTATTTGTTTGTTTGTTTGTTTGTTTGTTTGTTTGTTTGTTTGTTTGAATTTTACACCATCCATCTAGTTGCCAAGGCTACTCTGGGCAGTTTACAACACAACATAACAATTTAAAACAGTAAATATACACAGTAAACATAATGACTATATAGTTATATATATATCAAATTTTGTATCAGTACACATTGACAAAACTATATAAAATTAACTAAAAATGAACAAGGTGATTTAAAGGCAAGGTGGAGGAACTGATAATTTGAACACTGTTATGATGTTACAGGCTCCAGGAAGGCCTGTCTGAAGAGTTATGCTTCCAAGGACCATTTAACTATTCCCAGTGAAAGGGTCAGGCAAGTTTTGGGTGATGGGGAGTGACTACTAAGAAGGCCTGGTATTTGGTCGATGTTCTCAACTGCCTGGCCTGGGAAGACTGTGTTTAGGGTTTTGCATGTCATTATCATCACCTTGAAGCTGGCACGGAAACAAACAGGTAGCCAGTGTAAGGCAGCCAAAGTAGGGGAGATATTATGGTATTTCTTCACTCCACTCAATAGCCTGGCTGCTATATTCTGAACCTGCTGAAGTTTCCATAGCAGCCTCATAGACATCCCCATGTAGAGAGCATTACACAGCATCCAGGCAACGCTCAAGGGACAGGATGGCATCCTCTGCAGAAGGGTAGAAGGAGAGATAGAGCTGGGTGTCATCTGCATATTGGTGACACAAAGCTCCAGAACCCCTCTGTTATCTATGCAGATCATGTCACTCAACTGTGAACATAAAAAAGGACAGGACAAAGATAAACATGCACTTGGAAGTCATCTGAACATTTTAGTGGGGCGTTTGTTCAATTAAACATGCAGAAGATTAGTCTGGTCAAAGTAGTAAAGGCAGATTTTATATGGAACTCAGTTTACCTTCTAGATCTCTGTTCAGTTTTCGCAAATCTTTTATTAAGTCTTCAAATTTAACTTGGGATGCCTGGAATAAATCTTGAGGTTCTGGTAGTGGAAACACACTTTTATCTGTTCCTGCTTCCTAAAAAAGAAAAGTACCGTTAACTTTAGAAAAGTGGCAAAATTTCGAAAAAAACACAAATTAATGTTCCCTGAATTAGAAATGTGAGCACATGATATAACTTTACAGATACATTCCTTGCAAAGATTACACACTGGAATGAACGGCTGAAAAAATTGTCATTTGCAGCCAAGAGTAACACGAATTATATGCATTTTTATTTATATTTGTTCTACCCAAAGCTCAAGGAACACTTTACAAGATCATTTCTTGGTAGTCCAGTAAATGAGACTCTCCCCTAAATCAATAATGTACACAGAATTGATGAAAGACTTATGAATAAATAATGATCTAAAATATTTGGTGCCTTTCGTTAACAGAAGTGCCTTGGCGAAGGAGAAGGAAGATGAGAAAAACTTCTGCAGATTCATGGCAGGTTTTGAAGGTTTACTTCTACAAATATTCATGTGGTTTTTTTAAAGAATTGGTTTAAAAATTAAAACATATAGTACAGTCTTAGTGTCACAGCGAGTCCAATCATTACCCTTTCTGATGCAGTCCTATATATCTCCTCACATGTTAACTGATGGTAGGGCTTTTGAGGAAAGTGCAAATCAGCAAAATGTAGCTCTCTCCACCTTTTTTTGCTAATGGAAAACTCTGTTGAATCAAAAGCCTTCTGTAATAAAAGTTTAACACAAATGGGTTAAACCGAATGTGTTAGAAGATGGTTAAAACATACACTATGCAGACGAAGCTATTAGACATTAACCAGTTGTATCCCACTATCTGTTGTTTAGTCTTTAAGTCGTGTCCAACTCTTTGTGACCCCATGGACCAGAGCAAGCCAGGCCCTCCTGTCTTCCACTGCCTTTCAGAGTTGGGTCAAATTCATGTTGGTAGGTTTCATGATAGTGTCCAACATTCTCGTCCTCTGTCATCCCTTCTCCTCTTGCCTTCAAACTTTCCCAACATCAGTGTCTTTTCCAGGGAGTTTTCTCTTCTCATGAGATGGCCAAAGTATTGGACCTCAGTATCTGTCCTTCCAGTGAGCACTCAGGGATGATTTCCTTCAAAATGGATAGGTTTGTTCTCCTTACAGTCCAGGGGACTCCCAAGAGTCTCCTCCAGTACCACAGTTCAAAAGCATCAATTCTTTGGTGGTCAGCCTTCTTTATGGTCTAGCTCTAACTTCCATTCATTGCTACTGGAAAAACTATAGCTTTGACTATGCGGACCTTTTTCGGCAAGACGATGTCTCTGCTTTTTAAGATGCTGTCGAGGTTTGTCATTGCTTTCCTCCCAAGAAGCAGGCGTCTTTTAATTTCGTGGCTGCTGTCACCATCTGCAGTGATCATGGAGCCCAAGCAGGTAAAATCTGGCACTGCCTCCATATTTTCCCCTTCTATTTCCCAGGAGGTGATGGGGCCAGTGGCCATGATCTTAGTTTTTTTGAGGTTGAGCTTCAAACCCTTTTTTGCGCTCTCCTCTTTCACCCTCATTACAAGGTTCTTTAATTCCTCCTCATTTTCTGCCATCAGAGTGATATCATCTGCATATCTCAGGCTGTTGATATTTCTTCCAGTAATCTTACTTCTGGCTTGGGATTCATCTAGTCTTGCCTTTCACATGATGTATTCTGCAAGTAAGTTAAATAAGCAAGGAGACAACATACGCCAGGCCCTCCTGTCTTCCATTGCCTCTCGGAGTTTGGTCAAATTCATCTTGGTAGCTTTGATGACACTGTCCAACCATCTCATCTTCTGTCATCCCCTTCTCCTCTTGCCTTCACTCTTTCCCAACATCAGGGTCTTTTCCAGGGAGATTTCTCCTCTCATGAGATGGCCAAAGTATTGAAGCCTTAGCTTCAGGATTTGTCCTTCCAGCGAGCACTCAGGGCTGATTTCCTTCAGAATGGATAGGTTTGATCTCCATGCAGTCCAGGGGACTCTCAATAGTCTCCTCCAGCACCAGAATTCAAAAGCATCACAATTCAAAAGCATCCATTTTCGGTAACTTTACCTATAACCCTTGCATTTTGTTTCCCTTCTATTCTCTGCTATTTGTAAGGCCTGGTTGGACAGCCACTTTCCTTTCTTCCATTTCCTTTTGCAGTCAGCTTTCTGCATATCTGAGGTTTTAGATTTTTGTTCCGGAAATCTTAATTCCGGCTCGGGGTTAATCCAGTCCAGCCTTTCGCATGATGTATTCTGCATATAAGTTAAATAAACATGGAGACAATATACAGCCTTGTCGTACTCCTTTCCCAATTTTGAACCAATCTGTTGTTCCATATCCCGTTCTACCTGTTGCTTCCTGTCCCACGTATACATTTCTCAGGAGATCGATAAGGTGGCCAGGCACTCCCATTTCTAAAAGAACTTGCCAAAATTTGTTGTGGTCCACACAGTCAAAGGCTTTGGCATAGTCAATGAAGCAGAAATAGTTTTTTTTCCTGGAACTCTCTAGCTTTCTCCATAATCTATCGCATGTTAGCAATTTGGTCTCTTGTTTCTCTGCCCCTTCGATATCCAGCTTGTGGGAGTTCTCAGTCCACATACTGCTGAAGCCTACCTTGGAGGATTTTGAGCATAACCTTGCTAGCATGTGAAATGAGTGCAATTATACGGTAGTTGGAGCATTCTTTGGCACTGCCCTTCTTTGGGATTGGGATGTAGACTGTTCTTTTCCAATCCTCTGGCCACTGCTGAGTTTTCCAAACTTGCTGGTATGTTGAATGTAGCACCTTAACAGCATCATCTGTTAAGATTTTAAATAGTTCAACTGGAATGCCATCACCTCCACTGGCCTTGCTGTTAGCCATGCTTTCTAAGGCCCACTTGACTTCACTCTCTAGGATGTCTCGCTCAAGGTCAGCAACCACCCTATCTGGGTTGTCCAGGACATCCACATCTTTCTGGTATAATTCCTCTGTGTATTCTTGCCACTTATTCTTGATGTCTTCTGCTTCTGTGAGGTCCCTCCCATTTTTGTCCTTTATCATGTCCCTCTTTGCACAAAAGGTTCCTTTTCCATTTCCAATTTTCTTGAATAGATCTCTGGTTTTTTCCTTTCTATTATTTTCCTCTATTTCTTTGAACTGTTCATTTAAGAAGGCCCTCTTGTCTTTCACTGCTATTCTTTGGAAGTTGCATTCCATTTTCTATAACTTTCCCTATCTCCCTTGGGATGGTTTTTGTTGCTGCCTCCTGTATAGGGTGGTGGGCAGAAGCTTTTGATAGTCACCAGTGGTGGTGAGCTGGCTGTGATGTTTGGCTATTAAAAGCTCTTCACTCATTCCAAGGCTTCCAAAGGCTTCCCCAGGGCAAAAAGGTGCTCTAGAGAGCCTTGGAGCCTGAAACAGGGTGCGCAAGAAGCTTTACATTCATTTAAAATAAATGTTACCAGTGCTAGATGATAACATCGTCTGACTTCCATGGTGCAGCTTTAGACAAGAGGATTTTGTCCACTACTAAACTTTGTTTCAAACATCTGTCCTATGATCTATAGATGAATTTCTTATTCTTCTCCATGAAAAGAAAAGCTTTAGTATGCATGATCTAGCACAGAACAATATGTATGTGTGCCATACAACATCTTCACTGATTTCATTGGCTTAATTGTTCTGAGCTATGTGATAGACTACGATCCCTGTTTATTTATTTCAAATTTTCAGTCACAGAGGAGAAAGAACACGAATGTGTGAATGAAGCTTCACAGAACTCTTGAATCACTGTGATTAAACAAGGTACTAACATGGTATGTATTACAATAATGGGTGCAACAAAATTATTTACCTTGTCACAATGGCGAAGGTAATATATTACAACATAATCCACAAGACTGATGGCAGTGTCCTAAAATGGAGGACAGAGATTTCAAACACAGTTTAAATTATCAACAGGAATATAGTTAAAACATCTAAAACAAAAGTAACACTTTAAAATAAATATACACCCCTCCATGTCAGTATATACATAAGAACCGAGGAACAGCCCTGCTGGATCAGGGCAAGGGCCATCTCGTTCAGCTTCCTGTATCTCACAGTGGCCCCATCAGCTGCCTTTGTGAGCATGCGAGACAACTAGATACCTGTCTCCTGATGCCACTCCCCTCCATCTGGCATTTGGAGGTACCATCCTTTTAAGCCTGGAGATTATACATCCCCATCATGGGTTGTAACCTGCAACGGACTTTTCCTCCAAAAATCTGTCCAATCCCCTTTTAAAGGCATCTAGGCCAGATGCCATCACCGCATCCTATGGCAAGAAGTTCCACAGACTAAGAACATGCTGGATAAAGAAATATTTTCTTTTGTCTGTTCTCACTCTTGCAACACTCAATTGGAGTGGATGTCCCCTGGTTCTGGTATTGCATGAGAGGGAAAAGAGCTTCCCTCTATCCAATTGATCCGCCCCCTGCATAATTTTATACACCTCAGTCATGTCCCCCCTCAGATGCCTTTTCTCTAGATTAAAGAGCCCCCAACGCTGTAGCCTTCCCTCATAAGCGAATTGCCCCAGCCCAGTTATCATTTTAGTCACTCTCTTCTGCACCTTTTCCAGTTCCACTATGTCTTTTTTGAGGTGCAGTGACCAGAACTGTACGCAATACTCCTGGTATGGCCTTAGCAGCATTTTGTATGATAGTTTGTGTTTGCTGCAACCCACTATTTCCAAACTACAGAAATAAAATGAAAGCTGCAAAAAACATTGAAATATAGTTTATGCAGCAGATATTAGCAACCAGTTTACATATACTGCAGCTTTCAGTTTATATAGTGTGTGTTTTTATATGTGTGTATGTAATCTCTCTCTGTGTGTGTGCGTGTGTGTGTGCGTGCGTGCGTGCGTGCATGCGCGCGCCTGCACACACGCACACGCACACACACACACATCTGTCCTGTCTTCATGGACTAGGAATATGTTACAAATTCATGAAAAACACAGCATATCTTGAAGTCATGCATCATAAAAGTAGATAAAAATTATTTCTTTAAAAAAATGCTAAAATAAACCTTGTAAAAACCTAGTTTACAAGTTACATTAAGGTTTAGTTGCTGCTGTAAAACTACCTTCTGTCAGAATCACAACTATTAAGAGTGACTTGGGCACTAATTCAAGGCGACAGGAGATAGTTAATCACCGCTAACACTCATTGAATCCCCAGACTCGGACCCTGATACTGAGCCCAGTCTAGCATGCAGGAACTATTAGAACCTGAGATCCCAAAGCAGAAACTAGTAACTGAATAGACATCACTACAGAATCAGCATCTTTGCCCACAGACGTCTTATATGCCAAATCCGCTCATCACCATGCACAATATACCCAGAAAAAGGCAATAAAGAAGCAATAGAATATTACGGTGCACACCCAGAGGCTTAACTCTTTTGAGATCTCTAGTAAGGAGTTGTTGACCCATAGAAGGTCAGCCAGAACACTATATAAATGAAAGGTGGATGACTTTTTTGGCTCAAAGGCTCTGTTCTACAGATGGGGACAAAAATAAAAACGGATCAGCTTTTTAGATGAAAATAGCCGATTCGTTTAAATATTCGTTCCTTCATATTCGTGGGTTCCAGAGACCCCCATGAATACAGAAGGATGAATATTTACCTGTTTTTATTCGTCTTCCGTATTATTAAAATTACCCCAAAATATTCTGCCTCCTGCCCGCAGATCAGTTGATCAGTGGCAGATAGGCAACCACCCCCACTCCACAACCACCACCCCAACAGCCAACCCCCCACACCCCTTCCTCTCCCTACCTTAACCTCCCAACCCACCCCTGCCAACACCCCCTTACCTTAATGGCTGCTGCTGAGGTCTCCTTCTGGCCTCTCAGCCACACATGTAAAAAGGGAGACAGGTTGCCCTTTGCAAAGATGGTGGCTGCAGCTTCATTTAGGGTAGGGAAGCTGCAGCTGCCATCTTTGCAAAGGGAAGCCTGGATTCCCTTAGCTTGTTGTTGGGGTGGCTGGCTGTGGGGTGGGGGTGGCTGCCTATCTGCTGCTGATCGGCGGCCAGTAGCCAGAATAGTGCTTTTCTTTCTTTCTTTTTTAATAGGAAGGGGGGCGGTGGGGGTAGTTTTTTAAATAACGCCCCCCCGCTTCATGGGGGCAACTTCGTGCTTTGTGAGTCATCAAATTTCAACGACTCACGAAGTGGGACGACTTGCTAAAATGGTGAGTCGTCCCCATCTCTACTTTGTTCCTTTTTTTGGTCTGGAAATCTATTTTCCAGGGTGCAAATGATAAGTGGACCAAAGCAATACAAAACATCAAAGACTGGTGATTAATGGATCATTCTCTAACTGGGAGAAGGTAACTAGTGGGGTATTTTTTATTAACGACCTGGATAAGAGACTGCAGGAAACGCTTGTCAAATTTGCAGATGATACCAAATTGGGCGGAATAGCTAATATCCCAGAAGACAGCAACAAAATTCAAAAAGGACCTTGATAGGATGGAGCACAGGGCTGAAAGCAACAGAATGAAATTCAACAGGGATAAGTGCAAAGTACTGCACCTCAGAAAAAGAATCCAATTGCATAGTTACAAGATAGGGGATACGTGGCTCAGCAGAACTACAAATGAGATGGATCTTGGAATTGTGTGATGTGGCTACAAAAATGGCTAATGCTATTTTAGTCTGCATTAAGAGAAGTATATTTTCCAAATTGGGAGGTGTGCTAGTCCCCCTCTATTCAGTACTGGTTAGGCATCACTTTGAGTATTGTGTCTAGTTCTGGATACCACACTTCAAGAAGGATGCTAACAAATTGGAACAAATTCAGAGGAAGGCGACAAGGATGATCAGGGGGCTGGAAACCAAGCATTGTGAGGAAAGGCTGAAAGAATTCAGCATGTTTAGCCTTGAGAATAGAAGACTGAGAGGTAATATGATAGCATTTTTCAAATATTTGAAAGGCTGTCATATAGAGGATCTGTTTTTGATCATCCCAGAGTGCTGGATATGCAACAATGGGCTCAAGCTAAAGGAAGCCAGATTTCGGTTGAGTATCAGGAAAAACCTCCTAACTGTTAGAGCAGTACAACAGTGGAATCAGTTACCTCAGGAGTTGGTGAGTGCTCCAAAACTGGAGGCATTCAAGAAAAACGTAGATAATCACTTGGCAGATATGCTTTGATTGTATTCCTGACTTAAGCAGGGGGTTGGACTTGATGGCCTTGTAGGCCCCTTCCAACTACACTTTTCTATGATTCTATGAAAGCGGGACCACCACCACACCCATCACAGAAAGACCACCATCACAGAAACACTCCATCACAAACAACATCACAAACATTCATTCCCACATACAAGTGGAAAATAGGCTTGGGGAAAAACACTCTTGGAAGAAGCCAGGAATAGGCTTGGGGAAAAACACTCTTGGAAGCTTCTTCTTCCCTGAAGCCAGTTTTCTGGGCAGCAGAGGGCCACAAAGGAAAGAACTACAGGCCACCTCTGGCTTACAAAACACAGATTCCTCACACTTGCTATAAGGGATCTGCCAGTAGGAATGGGATTTCCATACTTCTAGGACTTCCAGTCCCAAGATTTGCTTAGTATCCTCCTGGCACACTTTGGGGCCTTGGAGAGGAGAAAGAAGAATGCAAAAGAGAGGCATTTCTTCACTCAATAGTCTGGCCACCACGTTCTGAACCTGTGAATTCACAGATGGCCATTTAAAGAATTACAGTTACAGGTAAGCAACTTGTCCTCCTTCTTTGAGATATCTGGCAATTTTGTGTCTGATGTCCCTCACCCAAACACCAACACTTTGAGTGTCTATTAATGAGAGGCATCTTGTTAGTGCCAGAGACACACTTCTTAAATGGGCCCATACGGACCACAGAAGGCTGGAAGGCCTCAAGTAGGACACTGACAACAGCAAAGATAACAAAGGGCATGGAGAAAAATGGATGATGAAAAGTCACATGGATTATTAATAATTTTGTTTTTACAAGAAAAGTATCTAAGAAATGCTCCAATGGGTGTCTCCTCAGCAGTGGCTGAAAGAGAACTGAAGATTCACTAAAAGGTGGAAGAGCATTAATTGTGCAGGGAGTCAACCTAATGGCTTTTTAGGCTCTGGAATGTTCTGAGATAGCTCTGCAGAGGCATTGAAAGAACTCATATGTGTAATTCACAGTGTAATTCTCATATGTGCAATTCACTTACATGCCCCCTGCAAGGTACATCTAACTCTGCTTTCTTAATCAGAAAAAGAATTTTATTGTTGCAATTGAATTGGTAGATTGTAATATTAAGCTGAAAAATCAAAATAGGCCCAGGTATCCTGCAAAATGCCTTTCCTCTAGCTTATTTAAGCTTTCTCTGGCTGCTATTTGCAACTTAACATTTTTAAGAAGAAGAGCTAAACTTAAGTTTGGATACATGCTGACATATACACAGCTTTGTGTATACACAATTTTGAAGTATACAGACTTTGTATACAGAGTATGCAAAGTATACAGAGCTTCGCACATAGCAGCACATAGATACAGGCAGTGTTCTATGGGATTCATAGTCATTTCAATTATTTAACAAATATAGATTTCAACAAAAAACAAGCATTTTATATCCAATGAAATCTCATGTTGATAATCTTCTTTGATGTTGACCAACTGCTATATGGGTTATAGAATAAAATTAGTCAAGTGTAGCTATGAAGATGAATAAACAATGCTTTAGATATGAAATCACTGGTTACAGGATATTATTAAATAGCACAAGGAGAAAGACACTGAAGTGTATTATATTTGGAATGCCTTTGAAGTGTGCATTTGTTTTTGAATAGCATACCAAATGTTACCAGGATAAGATCTGGCTATGCAGCATGCATACAAGAGAATGTATTAAATTCAAGATCCATGTGTGCATTTCAGTATCAATTATATGACTACTGTGTAGCAGTGAAACCATTCACTATACATGCTACTATTTGTTATTGACACAAATGGTCCAACAAAATTAGGATCCCAACAATTAATCATAATAATCATATAGATTGCTATGTATGGGGCAGAGTGTTACAAGGAAAAGATTTAAGGCAAAGAACTATGAACTAAAGGAAATAGCAGCTAGTGCTGTTCTGTACATGTTTGCAGGACAGCTCATGTAACACTAGTTCATTAATCATCATCATTATCTTAGAACTGCAGGGCTGGAGAAGACCCTATGGATAATAGAGTCCAGCCCTTGTCAAGGAGGCACAGTGGGGAATCAAACTCCCAACCTCAGGCTCTGCAACCAGATGTTTAATCACTAACCTAATTTAGTATGTATGTAATACAGCAATTGTATATGGTCAAAAAACTGATCAAGGTCAGAAGTTGCCGTTACTTGAGACAATATTTTGTGAACAAAAACTGGTGACCAATGCCAGTTGCATTCTTCGTACCCATATTGTCATTTATGTACACTCACTGATCTTTGCAAGTGTAAAGCTTATTCCCCAACCAGCCTCTATGAAAATCTGATGAGGGTGTGCTTTTCTATCGCTCTGAATTAATAGCTGAGACCACTTTCCCCTCCTTCAAGATGAAGGAAACCCCTGCTTATTCAACATAAGGGAGGATTTCTCTTGTGCAATCTGTTTCCTTTTCTCTGTTTTGGAAATGCAATAGGCAAAGGAAAACCAAAAAGAACTCAAAGCCAAAGGCTTGGTTTCTAATTCCTCAATTGAGGAATCCTCTGATAAGCATTTCTGGATAACAGCCAAACAGAATCATAATCTTTGACGTAAATTAGCTAATCACAACTCAGATTCCATTCACAGCCATCTATTTTTTTTTTATTCCTAACTTTGGGGGCGGGGAATGACAAAAAGAGGAATGACAAAAAGCACACAAGGAAACTTGAAGAAAATTAAAAAATTGATTGAACCTGATTAGCTAATAGCTATGGTCCATCAGCTGATACCTTTTTCCAGGTATTAATCCTCTCCTCCATTTCCATATACATGTGTTGCAACATAATGACACGGATGAACCCACTGTCATGACATCACATATGAGTTCTACATTGCTGGTTGATTTTTTCTTGTTAGCCATTGGATCCAAGACTATCTGATCAGCGATTTTTTTTAAAAGGCAAAGTCTGAAGCAGGCATAAGACTCTTTCTTGCCATTAGTACTGACAGAAAGTGATATGATAGTAAGGTAACAGTTGTGTGCTTATAGAGTGCTACAGAGAAGACCTGCATCCTTTGTGCTATACACCTCAGATGTAAAGAAACAAACGAGGGAGGAATATTTTTCTTCATAAAGCATTGACCATAGATTGAAATGCAACTTAAACACAATCATAGTTAACATTTAGCACTTACTCTACTTTTAACATCCTTCAGTTTGGGAAGTATTTCCAAACCAAATCCGTCTGCTTGACCACGTGTCCTATTCCCACCATTCATGTAATTTCCAAAAGCCAGAATTAAACCTAAAATGACCTTCACACTTTCCATATCGAGTAGGCCCTGAAAGATAAAGTTAATTTTTAAGACCAGAATGGAGAAAAAAGTACACAAATATTTCAATTTCTCTTGGCATTACTAATGTTGATGCTGCATGAAATATAAAAAACACTGTAATCTTTCTAATTGAGTAATTAAACATTACAAAGAGAAAATTGAGAGGGAGAAGCTGAAGTGAGTTACATCCATAAATTCCAGTGGGCATCTAGTGTAGCCATTCTAAACCTTTTTTTTGTCATGGCCATAAATACAATATGAAAGAAATATAGGCCATATCAGGATTGTATAAGCTGCATAACAAACCGTATAAGATGTTGTGTGTGAAGAATTTTTTCCACTCTGCGGCCCCCTTCAAGTATGCCAGGGCTCCCCAAGGGGCCATATGGCCTCTGTTGAGAATGACTTATCTAGACATTTAAATAGGAAATGGAGTTTTTAAACTCATATACAGTGTACAGATAGAATCAGGAAAAGGTAATGTGGTCCTTAGGATTACACAAATACTGTAGAAGAGTAGGGTGATAGCTTTACTGAACCACTAAAAAAAATCAAACAGACTGCAAGCTTTTGTGGAGAAAATTCCACTTCATCAGGTGGGCAATACCTCTTACTCTAAATACTGCAGGAAGTTAAGAAAAAATGAGACGCAAGTGTTTTGGACAGCACAGAAGTTAAAGAGAGCAATCCCAGTCCCCCTCAAACACATGGCAGATGAAAGTTCAGCTAGAACATAAGTGTTCTTCTGTTGGTGAGGAGAAACCCTGCCATCACAGTGCCATATTGGTGCAGAAAGTCTCCCCTTGTATTCATGCATTTGTTTCTTTAAACTTATATCCTCCCTATTTAGTGGACAAGCCAGTACTCTGGGCAGCTTCCAGAAAATAACAGAAATATAAAACCTTTATTTAAAAAAAAAACATACAAAAACAAAAATCCCTTTGGTGAGCCATGGGCAGGCATAAACTGACCACAAAATTAATATTACAAAGGGGCGAGGTTTGTAAAAACCTAAGCAAAAAGTCTTGTTTTAACTTGTCTTCAGAAAGCTCAGGAAGGTGGGGGGGGGCAATCATACCTCCATAGGGAGGGAGTTCCAGAGTGGGGCGGTCACTACCAAGAAGGCCTGGCTTCTGACAACTTCCAGGCCTCTTTCGGAGTGGCCACCTGCAGCATCAAGGACTGGGAGGTGTAGGTGGGACATGAGGATGACCCAAAGGAGAGGTGCTCTGATAAGTAACGAGTTCCTAAACTGTAAAAGGCTTTATCAATACCTTGAATTTAATCGAGAAGCATACTGGCAGCCAATGCAGCTGAATTTGACCCAGAAGCATACTGGCAGCCAATGCAGCCGGGCCAGAATGGGTGAAATATGGTCAAATTTAGATATATCAGTAACCAAACTGGCTGCTGCATCTTGTACGTATTGCAGCTTCCGAACCACCTTCAAGAGTAGCCCCATGTAGAGAACAGTGCAACAGTCAATCCTTGAGATTACCAACACATGAACCAGTGTTATTAGGGACTTCCTGTTGAGAAGGGGGTGGAGATGTGCAATATGCCTCAGATGGAAAAAAAGGCAGATTTGGCTACAGTCAAGATTGTCTTCTTCATTGAGAAGTTCCAGATTTGGCTACAGTCAAGATTGTCTTCTCCATTGAGAGGTTCGGGTCATCCAAAAGCATGTCCAGATTATGGGCCTGGTCCTTCAGGGGGAGTGTGACCTTGTCAAGATCAGGCAACAAATCCCCTAACTGATCAGGATGCCCTCCTAACAACACGATCTTAAGAACAGGATAGACCGGGGTGGAAGTTCTGCTAACCTTGGGATACTTCTAAAAAATGTTGACTACACAATATTCTTGTTGGAGTGTTTCAACCTATCCCTAGATGGGTCTCAAGGTGGAGCCTACCGCTTCTTTGGAATAATTAGGAAATAACCATGGTTTTCTTGCTGTGCAATCATCTAGATTGCTCCAGTGTGGGGACTGGGGTGTATTCCTCCTACACGTCAGTAGTGATGTGTAAAGGCAGGTATGGTCTGGTTGTGATTACAGATGGCACTCTCTGTCCTATTTTTGAAGAGAAAACAGGCATTTTTGTCTTAATTTTATTATATTTATTTTAAAAAATTTTTGTTGTTGTTTGGTCGTTAAGTCGTGTCCAACTCTTCGTGACCCCATTGTGCTGCATCATTTAAGCACTACTCCACTTACCAATTTTTTTTAAAAGAAGGAGAAATGTGAGGCTGAAACATGGCACACTCTACCCCACACTACACCTTTGTGTGCATAAAAACTCAGCATTAGTGCCAACCTGCAATTAAATGGAAACAGGCTATTTCCCAACCATCAGACAGCTATTGCAAAAGAGAAGACAGGAGACAGGAAGTGAGAAGGAAAGAGCACATTGTGACCAAATGGACCAAAACGGAGCAATATGTGGTTGACTAGATCGCAACTACAGGGGCTACAAGAGTGTTTTCCATGTAAATGGAAGCAGTCATCTAATCAAGTCCCACTGTTTCAAACCATTCCAAAGTAAGCTAGGCTGGATCATTCCCTGTTGCTAAGGTAGCTGTACCCTATAATTTATAAAGCATTTAATCTTTCAGAAACAATCATGCCATTTGAACAGAATGTGAAATCACATTTGTAGGGGGAAAATGTTCAACATTTACAGCAATTTTAAACTGCTGCAAAGATCAGGGCAAAATCAGTGATTACTTATTTGTTTGCTTTATTTATAGACTCCCTTTCTCCTTATAAAGGAACCTAAGTTACATAAGTTATAAAACACGAAACAGTACACGATAGTATAGGGTAGATTTTAAACTAGGGTTTCTTCCTTTTTTATGGATAAACAGGCTTAACTGTGAGCAGTGGAACTTAACTCCTAACAAAGTACTGTATATGGTGAACTGTAGTTGAAGCTTTCATTTACCATAAATTTTGACTCACCTACCTTCGAAACACGATGAATAATATCAGCTTTTCGACGCACTGCAGTTATCCCTTCATTGAAGACAGACTGAAAAATTATACATCGGGCACGTTCAGCAAAATTGGAGATCTGTGACAATTCATATAAAAACCTGTAAAAATAAAAACATAAAGGGCAAAGCTGTCTATTTACCTTATATTGGTAATACAATTGTGTGTGTGTGTGTGGGGGGTGTCTGTGTGTCTGTGTGTCTGTGTGTCTGTTCTTGCATGGTTTACATTTTGGATAAATGTAAATTATAACCTTCATAAACCTCCACAGGAAGATTCATAATTTTAGGATTTAAAGCTCATACATACAACATACAACTACACAAATTACATCTGATGTATATGAGAGAAATTGAACAAAAGAGAGGGAAAGAGGTACTGCCCTCTGCTGGGTAAAATGAATTGATAAACATTTCTTCTCCGTGGATCGTTTCCATGTTGAATGTGAATCCGTGACAGGACGGCTATGACAAATCAGTCATTTTTAGGCTGCAATCCTAAATACATTTTGTAGTATGTCACTCAAATGAACTCAACACAACTTGTGATTTTGCTGTTTCTCAGTTATTATCTTGTAAAGTAGGAATGTTAATACTGTTCTGGCAGACATAACACAGGCAACCTTTTAAAAAAAAAACCAAGCACTACAATGCATTTTTAAAAATTATTTCAACACAACCCTATGCCTGCCAGAGAGTCCTCACTGTGGGGCTTGCATCCAGGTTACAGCTTTAAACGGGCATTAGAAGCTAGATATTTAGATTTTTAACACAGTGTTTAGACTCCCTTGCCCAAATCTAGTTTTCACTGCCTGACTGTTATGTGTCCTAGTTTAAAAAGCTTTGGCTTCCTTTGGTTTGCTATCTGCTGCAGTATCAAGATCTGACTGTTACTCCTGATTCAAGGAGTTGCGAAATGTAATGTTAGGAATTATAAAGACATCTACAGGTACAGAGAGTATCGGCTTTTTATTAGTTCTGCACAAATTCAACTGAATGGGAATGCTGGCTCAATTTCAGGTCTGACTCCACTCTCCTTTTGAAGGCTGGACCGCAGCATGTATACAAGAACTAATCCTGGGGAAAAAAAACCCAATTGCCCTGCCTCATAAGGTTTAGATGCATGGTTAGAACTTTATTGAAAAACAGTGTAGTGGTTTCAACATCCCAAAAAAATTAAAAATCTGCCTCACCATTCTAGGTTGGTCACTAATGTTGGTGTATTCTACAAAACAGACGTAATGGCCAAAGTAGATGTAACATGTTATTTATTTAACTTATATGCTGCCAATACTACCCAAAGGTCTCTGGGAAGCTTACTACAATGTTGAATATCACATGGCTTATATGTCTCTTCTTATGTCGTGTGCTGTTACTTTCGGTTCTGTGGTGTGGGTTGAGGTGAAGACAAGATGAAATGGGAGAGAATGCGTTTTGCACCAGAGGTTAGAATTCACGTGTTTCTTCAAACTAACTAAAAGGGACTAGTTTAGTTACTTTTCTAAAAGGGGAGAGTAAAATGTCACTCAAAAAAAAATTCTCAAATGCAATAAAAATTAACTTGACCACGATGAAGAATGTCACTTAAAAAAAAATCCTTAAATGCAATAATAATTAACTTTAAAAAAAAATCACCATAGATGTCTTAAGTCCAACTAATTACTTCTAAAAAGTCACTTTTAAAGTGCTCGAGTCTGTGTCTGACCCTTTTGTGCATGATCAGGGTGCAGCAGTTATAATTAGAGATGGGGACAAGTTAAAAAATGGTGATTCGTTTTGATCCATTATTCATCAAGGTTAATGGATCAACAAATACGAATATATGAATATTATTTGATGAATTGCTCCATCGATTTGTCTGCACTTTAAACAGCTATAACACTGGCCTCCAGCCACCCAGAGACACCAAATTTGCAGGGAAGTTTCCGCAGATGCATTTCTACAACTCCTGAAAGTTTGGTGAACATTGGATCACAGACCCTGAGTTATATAGTCACAAAGAGGACCCCCCAGGAAAGCTTCCCCCAGGTACTTAGAGAATCCAGAATCACAACGGAGCTTCCTATGTTTTTCCCCAACATGCCTGGCAACTTTGGTGAAGACTGGATATCGGACATCCGAGTTATTCACCCACAAATTGGGTC